TATGACATCCTATGGAATGTAGACGATTGGGCAACGAGAGGTGAGCTTGTGAAAATTGATTGGTCGCAAGCACCCTTCATCTCTCTCTCTCTACTCTCTCTCTTCCCCCCTCTCTTTCTCTTGTCTCTCTCAAGGAGTCTCTTTTCAAGATCTGATTTGGGTCACGAAGCACTATTCCAATATCAATATAGAAGACGATGAACAATGTTTTTTAAGTGTAGTTTTAACATATTAAAAGTTTTAAATCAGACGTCATCACATGATACAGGTAAATGACAGGCTACTAATGGTAAGTGTTAAATTGGCATATTTTGTAAGTTCGGGTACTGAATTGTCACGTTTTAAATTCCAGGGACCAAAGTGACACTAGGCCCAAAGTACATGGTACTAATCGAGAATTTTTCATATTTTTTTTTCATTTTTTATTGTTTTTTGAGATACAACTTTTATGATATTTTATTTATAGCAATGGCATTTTAATGTAATCAAAAGAAGAAATGATGAGAGAGAGAGAGAGAAACGAATTGTGTGGGACTTCATGTCATAATTGGGGGGAAGAGAGAGGGAAAGAGGGGAGAGAAATGGAGGCTATGTGGGACTTGATGGGGTTGGTGCTAGGAGAGAGATGGGGGCTATGTGTAGACTTGTTTATGGGCCGGGCCAGGTCGGTTCAGGCTAGGCTTGCCTCTTTATCAATATAAAATGTGCAGGCCCAAGCTCAAGCCCAGCCCAATCATCGGGCCTAGATCTTGAGCCTAAGCTTGACCCTTATATAAAGCCCGAAGTCCAATATGTACATAAAATGTCTTATTTTCAATGTACTTTTATAAATTAATATTATATTAATTTAGAAAAAAATTAATAAATTAACAAACTAATTTGTATTTCATAATAGTAAATTAATACTTATTAATAATTTAATAAACAAATATTTATTATATATAACATAAGTACCTTTTTAATTATATGTAATAGTGTCAGGCTGGGCTTATTTGAGAAAGTCAGAGCCCAGTCTAAAAAATGATCGAGCTTGGTATTTAAAGTCTGAGCTCGAGCTCGCGGGCATGGAATTTTGTCCAAAACCGAAAAATAATAGGTCGGACCAGACTGGACCAATCCATTAGGCTACCCAACCCATCATCAAGTCTAGTTGTGTGGATTTTATTTTAAAAAAATTAAATATTATTATTTTAATAAAGATAAATTTATTTTTCTTTTGTTGATAAAACTTATTAAATAAACAACTCAATTAACCAATATTATTGGTATTGATTTATATATTTTTTGAAAAAAATAACATGACTTTTAGCCCCCTAACCAAATAAAATTGTTAATTTAAATACTTTTGTCTTATCATTACTCTGTACAACGTGGGTGTTAAATAAAAAGAAGTGTAAATTTCTGAAATTTCCCCTAAAGTTTTTGGTTGATGTTGAAACCTCTCTTGAAGTTTGGTAATTGTAATCACCATACCTGAACTTTCTAACATGGTTGCAAGTAGACCTCCTTTGTTAGAATTTGCTATAAAAAGCACAAAAATGTCCAAAATACCCAAATAGTTACTTTTGACCAAAATGTTTATTATTCTAAATTTTCTCTTCATATAAATCACTAGCCTAAAGGCCCAAACCCTTCCAATATCTTCTTTGAAATTGATTTATTTTCTAAATTTGCCCTTCACATCAATCGCTCAAATGTAATAATGCAACTTTAAATTCTCTATTTATTTTTGTTTATAAAGTTAGTATTGGTTTCTTTTTTTTTGGTTATAGAAACCAGTCACAATAGTAATTGCATGGATATTTTAGATATTTTTGTGTCTTCTTTTAAAAGATTCTAACATAAAGGGTCTACTTGCAACTTTACTAGAAAGTTCAGGAAAGGTGATTGCAATTATCAAACTTACTTAAGAAAAGTTTCAGCAATTTAACCTATGAACAATCCTTAAAATTTGGAAATCTTTCAGAGGTTAGTCAGACATGCAATCAATGCGTATCTAGAACATATGATTTTTCTCTTGTTTTTCTGCTATAATAAAATGGAATCATGGAGGTCATAGTAGTAATTTCAAAACACATGTATTGAAAGAAGAACAGAAAAATGCCTGTCTTTAGTTACGTGTCGTTTGATTGCACTTTTTAGAGGTCTAAATCTGAAAATGCTACTTTTCAGACCTCACCCTTTATTTGGTTATACCTCTTAAATTGGGTCTAAAACTAATTTTCAGATCTGAAAATCATAGACCTTGGGCAGGCTCTTAACGCGCTCAGACGCGTTTCAGAGCCAGTCCACTATCCAAAATATCCTTACAATTTTTCATAAATGACTCGAGTTACCCCTAATACCCCCAAACCTAGAAAACCTAAACACTCGACCTCTATCTCTCTTTCTCTCTCTCTCTTCGCCCTATCTTCCTGCCACCGCTGTGGTGGCTCTTTCTCTCCCCTGTCTTCTCTCTCTCTCTCTCTCTCTCTCTCTCTCTCTCTCTCTCCCTCTCCCTCTCTTCGCCCTTTCTTCCCGCCACCACCACTGCAACTTGTAGCGGTGACTCTCTCCCCATGTCTTTTCTCTCTCTCTCTCTTATAGATTGCTTGAAGAAAATGATACTTGTTGGCACCCAATTTTTTCTCGGTCCCTTCACCCTACCTCTTGGTACCCTCCTCAGAACCATCCACTTGAATCCTCTCATTAATCCATCCCTATCCACCAAATTTCATCCCTAAATTACTCCGTTTGACCCTTCATAAAACTAAAATTTTGTTTTAGCAAATATCTTTGATCCGAACTTGTTAGCCATAGATCTCAATCATCCCAACCCCATTTGTCTAGTCAAACATCACCACTATGTTCAAAGACTCCCCCAAAAAAAAACAAGACACCAAATTTCATGACCAGATTCACTCATTTGACCATTAAACTAGAAAGATACCATTTCGACGCACTAGATTAAATTGCCACATCATTTGGCCCAACCTAAAGCCTTATATGGATGATGGCTGATGTAAGACCCATTCTTGACCTATTAGAACACATGAATCAATTAAACATGGCCTAATAAGCTTAAAAAATAAAAAATACCAAACATACCCTTACTTAAAACCAAGAAAAGACAAAATATCTTTAAAAAGTKCATCAAATTTACATTTTCTGCCACTGTCAGCCCCAAATACGAGACTGCAACATCTGGCACGCCCTCAGCTCCCATTGACTGCACAAAACCCAGGAAAACCACCCCCAAATCGAATAAAGAGTTTCACCAAACATGAAAGCTTGACTGGGCACCAATTTCTTTGAAGAATCTTTGCCTATTTCAGTGAAAGAACTCTGCTCAGCCACAAGCATTGTAGCTGAGCGAATTTCAAACCCGCCTCCTTCCATTTTCTCTATAAATAGAGGCCTAGTTCGAGTTTGAAGGGGGGACCTGAGAGGCAACCTGATGAAGGGACAGAATAGAGAAAACCTGAGGGAGTCCCCTAGAGAGAAGGAGAGAAAGAGAGAAAGAGAAAGAAGCTTTTTTCCAACCCATACTGCCTCTTGTTCACCTGAAACTCGGAAGTAATCTAAACCCCTGATTCCAAATTTGCCTCATCCATTTTAAAGCAGAAGTTGTCGCAATCGAAAGCACTCCCTAGCTCAAGAACCCATTCAAGCTTCCTTCTACCTCATTTCGAGTTGTTGGAAAACTCCTGTCAAGGCACATATGAAAGGTAAGTCTTTTTTAGTTTTTTTCTGGGTTGCTTGAGGTTCTGAAATGTTGGGGAACCATTGCTTGCAATTTCTTCTTGATTGAGAGTAGAGACAGAGAAGTGAGGGTCTTAGGGAAATCAGTACCTAAGACCCGGTAACATTACCTCAAAATCGGTCTTAGGAGGAGTTGAAAGCATGTTCCTCCAGATCTAAGAAACTCTTGCAACCATTTCTGTTTTCTCTGAAAGAAACTAAGCCTAGACAACTCCCCTTTTGGGCTGCAACAACAACTTGTAGAGAGGGGTGCCTAACACCTTCCCTCCCCCAATTCTTGGGACCCGAATCTCTTGGTTGTATGCCTTTCCCATGGAGGACAGAGTCACTATCAAAGACTTGAAATCAATATTTTCAAATTTGAAATGAAGGCCCATTTCATTTAAAAAATGAGTGGCGACTCCAAATCTTTTGAGTCAGCATGAGCTTCTTGGAGCTCACAATACCACTCGAACAACCTTTGGATGTTGCCTTTCCGGTCAATCACAAAAGCCAATGCAGCTCGATGCAACCCATCCAACTTGGACCCGATAGCCTTGTTGAAGAAGAGGAAGATAAGAAACGAAGATTTATGAGCGGAATTCTTCAAGCAAGCCTTGGGTGAAGAAGGATCAACCAGATTCACGGGATCAACCATTAAAGATAGACCTCCATCTCTATGTTGAAGGCCCATCAATGGTGTCACCATTCACCTACAAAGCCAATCTTTCCTTTCTAAAGGAAAAACAAAACAAACTTTCTGAATCAGATATTTGGAACCCTAGATTCAACAAGATTGTTGTAGTCTCTCTCTCTCTCCCTCCCTCTCCTGTCTTCCCATCACCACCACCACCGCCGCAACAAGCAGCAGTGGTGGTTCGGTACTTCGGTGAATAATAATAATACCTCTCTTAATTATTTTATTATTTTTTATTAAACATTAATTATTTTTTATTGAATTTACTTGTGTTATTTAATAATTATTTTTATTAATTAGTAATTTTTAATTATTTCATTATTTTTTAAAAAATATTTTAATTGTTATTTGTATAAATTATTAATCAATAATTATTAATTATTTTAATATTTTTATAGTCATTAATTTTTTAATTTTAATCGTTTCATTTATTAATTAGTAATTATTATTTTATTGTTTTATTATTATTTTTACATTAAAAATTATTTTTTATGAGATAATATAGATTGAATTCAATATTTTCAAATTGTATATTTTAAGAATAAAATTGTAAAATTAATAAATTTCAGATGGTAAGGATTGATTCAGTTGCGCGACAAGTATCAGTTGCGCGTCGAGTTGCCATTTCCCACCCCTCCAACACCCCCTGAAAAATCTGAACACTCTCCCCTTCGACTCTGAGGAACATACTCTCTCTTTCGCTTTCTCTATTCCTCCCCTCCCAAAACCCTAGAAAAGGACCTCTTAAGGATTTCTCTTTGATGGAGCTCGCACACAGCACTCAGTGAGTGCATCATCTCGCCGGAGCCAAAACTGCCGTTCCGATCTCCGGTCAGTCATTCTTCTCTCTCAAACCCACTATCAAAATGATGCATAGAAACAAAAACCCAATTCAACGACCCTAACCACAACCACTCAAAACATGGAGTTCGAACCTCTGAACATGCCCAACGAGGTTATCGAATTCGACGTGATGGCTGGTGGCTCTGGCGAAGACGACGACACAGCCATCGCCGTTGACGTCGTACACCCCGACGACGATGACGATGACTACAACGACGACGACCTCGTCTCCGGGCGAGACCTCGCAGCAACCGTCGATTCCTTGGACCCGGTTCTGGAACCCTACGAGGGCATGGAATTCGAGTCGGAGGAGTCCGCCCGGATCTTCTATAACTCCTACGCCCGCCGCGTTGGTTTCAGCACCCGGGTCAGCGTCTACCACCGCTCCCGCCGCGATGGCGCCATTATTTGTCGTCAAGTCGTCTGCTCCCGGGAAGGTTTCCGCCGCTGCCGGGACGGCGACGACACTGAAGGTCGGTCATCGAAGCGGCAACGAGCGGTGACGAGGGTTGGTTGCAAGGCAATGATTACGGTGAAAAGACTTGATTCAGGCAAATGGGTAGTCTCCAAATTCTTCAGAGAGCACAATCACGAGCTGGTACCGCCCGATAAGGTGCATTGCCTCCGGTCGCATAGGCACGTATCGGGCCCCGCTCGAAGCCTCATTGATACCCTTCAGGCGGCCGGGATTGGCCCGAGTGGGGTCATGTCGGTGCTGATTAAGGAATCCGGTGGGATTAACAATGTCGGTTTTACTACAGTTGATTGCCGAAACTACATGAGTAGCAGCAGGCAGAGGTCCCTTGGGAGCGGGGGTCAACATGTGTTGGACTATCTAAAGCGAATGCAGGCGGAGAACCCTTCTTTCTTTTATGCAATTCAAGGAGATGAGCTATCGACGGGGAATATTTTCTGGGCTGATGCTAGTTCTAGGATGAATTATAGTTATTTTGGGGACACAGTGACATTCGATACGACTTACAGGACGAATCGGTATAGGGTCCCCTTTGCACCGTTTACTGGGTTGAACCATCATGGGCAGCCGGTGTTGTTTGGTTGTGCATTACTTCTCAACGAATCGGAATCGTCATTTGTTTGGCTCTTTGAGACTTGGCTTGCTGCTATGTCTGGGCGGCGGCCAATTTCGATTACAACTGACCATGATAGAGTCATAAGGGCAGCTGTTGGGCAGGTTTTCCCGGATGCCCGTCATCGGTTTTGCAAGTGGAACATATTTAGAGAAGCCCAGGAGAAATTGTCTCAGGTTAATCAATTACAACCTACTCTCGAAGCAGAGTTCCGAAAGTGTATCAATGCAACTGAGACGGTTGATGAGTTTGAGGCATGCTGGGAGTCGCTCATTCAGAGGTATGGTCTTGTGGGAAATGAATGGGTTCAGTCCATGTACAATGCCCGTCAGCAATGGGTACCTGTTTACTTGCGGGGCGCCTTCTTTGGAGAGATGTCCATTACCCAGGGGAGTGATAGTGTAAACTCATACTTCGATGGGTTTGTTAATGCATCGACCACCATACAGGTTTTAATTAAGCAGTATGAGAAGGCCGTAGCAAGCCGTCATGAAAAAGAAGTAAAGGCAGATTACGATACAATTAACACTGCACCGGTTCTAAAGACACCCTCTCCTATGGAAAAACAAGCAGCAAACATTTACACAAGGAGAATATTCATGAAATTCCAAGAGGAATTGGTCGAAACTCTTGCTAATCCTGCAACTAAGATTGAGGACACTGGGACTGTCACCACATATAGAGTGGCAAAATTTGGGGAGGACCACAAGGCACACATTGTTAGGTTCAGTGTTTTTGAAAAGAAAGCTAACTGTAGTTGCCAGATGTTTGAGTTTTCTGGTATTATTTGTAGGCATATATTAGCAGTCTTCAGGGCAACCAATGTTCTTACACTTCCATCTCACTATGTCTTGAAACGGTGGACAAGAAATGCCAAGAGTGGTGTGGTTTTGGATGAGCGTGCTCTTGACATGCCAAGTAACTCTCGAGAGTCAGCAACAGTTAGGTACAACAACCTACGCCAGGAAGCCATCAAATATGTTGAAGAAGGGGCAAAATCTATACATATTTACAATGTGGCTATGGAGGCTTTACAAGAGGCTTCAAAGAAGGTTGCTGCTGCAAAAAAGCATGGTCCTGGGGTCACACAGCTTGGAACCATGGTAAATGGAGGGAACCGGGAAATGCGTACTGGTGAAGGAAACTGTATGGGCCAGCCTCAATCCTACTCTCTGGTAAGTTCTTCGATAATAAGGCATTTTCTGTTTAAATTCTCTTAACAAGTATTATTGTCCATTATTCTTGCAGAATTATGCTATTTTTCTTCTGTTCCCTCTTTAATAAACGTGGTCTTCACTGTCTTTTGCTAAATTTCTGTCTTCTACATTTTAAAGCAAAACCAGTTCTGTTCTTATTAGGAAATTTTGAGTGGTTACACATAGGGAACTCCTCTCAATGGGAAAGGTGTCATTTTGAATTGTGAGCCCCACACTTTTTAGAGAAAGCAATCCCAATTCTTTATTTGATTTTGAGAATCGTTTAGTAAACATCCAAGGATTGATTCCAGAGGCTCAGTTTGGAATGAGTACAAATGCAAAGATGTACAGTGCAAATACATACAAAATATAAGGTTTTGCACTCTACATATTTGCATTTGCACTCCTTCCAAACTGAGCCTTAGTGTAAAGTGACTACCTTGTACATTCCCTTTGTGTAGCCTCTAGTTGTACAGGGGATTTTTGCCTTTTGAAGATCAATACAATACAATAATTTACTTTTTTCAAGAAAAGGGAACTCCTCTCAATGGTTTCTTCCCTGATAATCTTCAACTATCTTCAGTATGTTGATATTGAACTCTACTACATTAATGTATTTTTGCATAGCAGAAGGGTTAGAGGTTCCCCCTTCCTACACAGACATGCACAGATACAAAGAAAAGGGGAGCTAAAGAAAAGGATAGCTGGAAGGGAACTATTACAAAGAAAAGGGGAGCTAAAGAATCTTAACTCCCTAGGGAAAGGATAAATCCCAAGCTGAAATAGAACAAAACAATTACAACTGAGCCCAGAACCCAGAAATCCTATTCACTCCTTGCCTAGCCAAACCATCAGCAAACGAGTTTGCACTTCTCTTAACCCAATACACTGAACTTCTATATTCTTGGACAACCATTTGAATTTCCTCTTCTCATTACTGTAACTCCAGAGCTTAGAATTGTCTTCTTTCAACCAGTTCACTACCACCACAGAATCTCCCTCTACAATCAGCTTCTTGACCTTTAGTTCTTTAGCCTTTTGTACCCCTTCCAAGGCTGCTAACACCTCAGCCCTCAACGAATCCCCCACTAATTGAGCTAGAGAACATAGTTGTTATATTACCATTCTCATCTCGTAAAACCCCCCAATACCTGAAGGCCCTGGATTCCCCATGCTACTACCATCAAAATTTAATTTGATAAATCCAGGAGGAGGAGGATTCCATGTAGTATTCAGGGTCTTCTTAGCCGAGAGTGAACTTGCAATTTCTTTCCATTTCCTTAACATATCATCTGTTGAAAAATCTGTGAACTCATCCATTGTCTTCAACCAGTGTATTACCCTTATATGGATCACTTCCAACATATTTTCCAACCCTCTCTCATTTTCTAAGAAAATCCTTGAATTCCTTTCTTCCCATATTGTCCAGCAAACAATAGCTCCCACACACCTCCACATGATCCTTGATCTTTTTGTTGGGCAGTTAACAGAGGAAGAGATAAACAAGCTTTGCACATTCGTTGGGGGAGTCCACTTGCCCCTAAACAAAGAAGCAAACCATTTCCAAATATTTTTTACCAAAACACAGGATATTAATAAGTGGTAACCGGACTCACCAGCAGCTCTACAGAGAATACACCAATGTGGAGATAAACAACTATTGGGTCTTTTTCTTTGAATTTAGTCACCTGTGTTAATTTTTTCCAGAAAAGCTTCCCAACAGAAACTCCCAAACCTCGAAGGTATAGGTCGACACCACACATCCTTGACAGGGAATGACAAGCCAATAGGACTTTCCAGATGCAATAGGGCTTTAAAGAAGGAGGCACAAGTAAAGAATCCAGAAGGAGACAAGGTCCAGATCCTACTATCTGTTTTTGTTGGCTCCAAGAAAACCCCATCAAGAATGGACAGGAGATTAGATGTACAATTCAGTTCAAGTTCCACCCAAACCCAGAGTTTGAATTTGAGGGAACAAGGAAAGTGGCAATTGGTTCATTTTTGAAGGTGGAGTTTGCAAAAAGGGCCGGAAATTGGTCTTTCAATGGATGATCCCCAATCCACACATGTTCCCAAAACTTAATTGAGTTACCCGAGTGCAAATCATACCTAATCCAAGGAGAGAATAGAGGCAAAATAGCATGGATTGATTTCCATGGTGATGCTCTTGTTGCCATAGCCATAATCCCAGAGTCCCATCCATTCTCTGCAAGCCCGTGAATACTGCCAATTATCTTAGCCCACAACTTTTCCTTTTCCAATGAGAATTTCCACAGCCATTTCCCTAGTAGAGCCAAGTTCCTCTTCCTAATATTCGCAATCCCTAAGCCTCCCTCTTGCTTACTTCTACACACCACCTTCCACCTAACCCTATGATCCTTTTTCTCCTCCCCAGGCTCCCACAAGAAATCTCTCATCAACTTTTCCAACTTGTCAGCTACCCCTGTAGGCACTTTAAAAACTGAAAGGTAATAAACGGGTAGGTTAGCTAAGGTAGCCCTAATTAGGGTGATTCTTCCTCCTAGAGATAAATAATTCTTCTTCCAAGATGCAAGTTTCTTTTCAAACCTCTCCACAATCGGAGTCCAAAAGCTTCCTTTTTGAGGATTATCTCCAAGAGGAAGACCGAGGTAAGTTAGAGGCCAATCCGACACTTCAAATTCCAAAATGTTTGCACATGCAAAGATCTCACTTTCCCCCATATTCACACCCACCACACAACTTTTATCAAAGTTAACTTTTAGATTTGACATTTGCTCAAAAAGTTGTATAGTGTGTTTCAAATTCCTAATCCAAGTCATGTCCTCTCCCTCACAGAAAAGAATCGTATCATCTGCGAACTACAAGTGTGTGAGTGGTATATTCTCCCTGCCTACCCTCCACCCTTTGATTAAGCTCCTAGAATTTGCCCTAGAGATCAATCTCCCCAAGACTTCAGCAACCAAGGCAAACAAGAAAGGAGAAAGGGGGTTTCCTTATCTTATTCCCCTCAATGCCGGGAAGAAGTCCACCACCGTTCCATTCACCAAAATAGAGTAATGGCAAGTCCTAATACGTCCTAGCACCCACCTGCACCATCTATCCCCGAACCCAAAATTGATCATCACCTCCAGCAAAAATGACCAATCTACCAAGTCATAGGCCTTTTCCAAATCTAACTTACAAACCACACCTTTTTCCTTGATTTCTTGAGTCCTCCACACTCTCATTTGCTATAAGTATTTGATCAATTATCTGCCTACCTCTCACAAAAGATCCTTGGTTATTTGACACAATGGTAGTGAGTACCTGTCTAATTCTAATAGACAAGACCTTCGCAATGATCTTATACAAGCTATTAACTGAACTGATTGGTTTGTAGTCCCTTGGGTGTGTTGCTTCTCTCTTCTTGGGAACCAAAGCAATGAAAGTAGAATTCAACCCCGGATTGATCTCTCCTCTTCTGTGAAACTCATCAAAGACCATTATTAGCTCCTCTTTCAAAATCTCCTAACAGTCTTGATAAAATGCCATCGTAAAACCATCTGGGCCTGGTGCTTTTGATCTATCCATAGAGAATATTGCCTCTTTGACTCCATTTCAAACTTCCTCTCCAACCACTCCCTATCCCTTCCACTTAGATTTGGCCACTCCATCCCCTCAATCCACACCCTATTACTTAAAGGCTTCCTATAGATAGATTTAAAATGGTTTGCAAAGGCCCTAGCAATCTCACCATGATTAGAAATGATTGTCCCCTCCACTTCCAAGCTTGAGGTGAGATTTTTTCTTCTCCAACTTGCCATAGCATGAAAAAATTTGGTATTCCTATCCCCCTCCTTCAACCATTTACACATTGACTTTTGCTTCCAACTAATTTCCTCCTTGAGCAATTCATCCTCCAATTGTTTTCGCAATTTCTACCTTTGTTCTTTGTCCTCCTGTGTAATACAACCCCTCCCTTCCTTCACATCCAGATCTTCCAGTTGTGCAATCACAGCTTGCTTCGTTTTTTCTAGTCTCCCAAATTCAAGCTTATTCCATTCCTTAATTTTGCCCTTCAAAAATTGTAACTTTCTATGGAACCTCATTCCACACCATTCTACTGAGGGGTCACTTTCTAACCACCATTCCTTGATTTTATTAATGAAACCTGGGTGGTGTAACCACATATTTTCAAATCTGAACGGGGCAGGCCCTGTATTTTCCAATTCTTCCTCTCCAATCATAATCGGCCAATGATCTGAGGTTACCCTAGGAAGTGTCATCGAGGTCAAATTACCCCAATGTTCCTCCCAATCTACTGAGAAGATAAGCCTATCCAACCTAGAACAAATGGGATTAACTTGTAGATTGGACCATGTGATGTTACTATGCACCATAGGAATCTCTTTAAGTTCAAACACCTCTACAAACTGGTTAAACTTCCTCATGCTTGTAGTCACCCTCTGCCTAGGATTATTTGTTTCTTCTGAAAACCTGGCTACATTAAAATCACCTCCTATACACCAAAGTCCTTCCCACAAACCCTTATATCCCCCAATTCTTCCCATAGAACCCTCCTCTCTCTATAATCATTAGGCTCGTAAACATTTGTTAAAACCCACTCAAATCCATCCTCCACCTGCCTAAACTTCTAAGATACTGAAAATTGGCCTATCAGCTCTTCCAATCCTATGCAGACCTCATTCTTCCAAAGTGTAATTATACCCCCTGCAGACCCCCCAAGAAGGAGCAGTAACCCAACTGATCCCCCCAGCTCTCCAAATACTCCTGGCCCATCTAGCATCAAATTCTGCTCTCTTAGACTCCTGTAACATAACTATATCTGGGTTTATCTTTTTAATCACCTCTTTAATTACTGCTCTTTTCCTAGCACTTCCCAACCCTCTAACATTCCAACTGACAATTTTCATTCTGCTCTCTTGTTTTCCTCCCCCAAACCCAATAGGTCATCACTTAACCCCCTTCCTTCTTTTCCCTTTGACACCCAAAATCTT